CTGCTAGGAAAGCAAAGACACCTATCACTTGAGGCCATTAGTCCTTGAAACTAAATATAGTGGAACTGGAATTTATAGTTCTACAACATAGACCAATACATCAGAGCTGATCTACCACTGAGAATTACAGATAGCAAGAAATTCAGATGAATTTAATAATGTTCAGTTTGTTTAAATGAGTAAAAGCTATTACAACACACAACCAGTTACTACCAGAATTGATATCTTGCATCACACTATGATAAGATTCAGTGTCCTGTTTGGGCAAGGGCTGAGAAATCTGTCCATGTGAACAATGGATGACTTAGCACAGTACCCTGATTAATTCTTCAAAGATGCCAAATGTAGGAATGGCAAAGGTGGTATGTATCAGCAAAGCTTCATGAACCTATGGCTGGCTATAGGGTTGCAAAGGGGCAAATGCTGTATTACAACAGATGGAGTAGAAGCACTGCTCCAGCTAATTTCATTTCACTAGGACCTTGGAAGTGTTTCCACAACCAACTTAATTTTCTCAGCAAAATTACATGGCTCCAGTATCATGCTTTCCCCATTCAAAGGAAGACCCTTTCCAATGGCACAGTAATTCTTCAAATTCCTCATACATATCAGAAAAGAATGGATAAATTATTTTACCAATTCAGGCCTAACATCTGCCACACTTTCATGTTTAAAAGATACATAGTATTAGTGTTCTCTGAGTGATAAATTCCCAAAGCAATCCAACATCACTCAGGAGATTCTCAGTATAACCTAGTTATTCTACACATCCCACTCAAAACTGACTCACTCAGAGGAAAGGAGGGACTTACCTGGAAGTTCACAGATCACACCTACATCTTAACTTACATTAATAATCAACTACAACTGTGACTTCCTCCAACCTATTAAAATTAATCCTCCAACAGGTGGAAGTTTAATATAACAAGAAAAAGGCAATGATACTTAAACCCAAAGAGGCTGTTCAAAAATGAAAAACAATTCTTAACTATCAGATTAACCAGACTTGTTAAAAGTTAAACCACTATTCTCCAGTTTGAATTACTGTCATTCTAGTCACAAGAAGACAGTCAGCTGCTTTTGCACTTACCATCATATCATAACGCCTATGAGTGTGTTGATGCTCACCTGTTTCTAGATGCAATTATGACAACAGGAGATGCATTGGCTATGTGGGTTGAAGTGCAAGGAAATCACAATAAGTGAGAACCAAAGCATTTGAATCTAAACCAAAATATCCTACAAGGCTGTTTACTGCTTTTCCACTGAATCATTACCACAATTCCCAAGTCTTCCATATCAGATTTTCTTCCCTCCCTGCATCAGGAAAGATACACCAAGAACTTCACCCAGGTTTCTTATCTGGCAGCAGGGAGAACTGTCATTAAGCTACACCTGCAGCCTTTGAAGAACCAAAAATAAATTCACTTTTGCTAGTATCAGCCCAACAAATACAAGAGGCGCTAGTGTGCAAACATCTAGGCTTCTGAAAGACATGGTGTGAGATTTTCAAAAATAAGTCATTTTTCAAAAGGGATTTAAGTGCCTATGTTCCTTTTGAAAAAGGAGACACTCCTGAAAATTTTACCTTGGAACATTGTATCAGGTTCCTAGTTTAGAATCAAAGACAGCTGTGTCATCCAGTTAGAAACCTCACAGTTTAACAGACATTCTACTGCCAGGTCCATTCTAGGCTTACCTGCGTAATATGCTAAATCCTTGAAAGTCCTGCTACAGTGCTGTATAATTTGAACAGGTCATCATGAAAAATATTTAATTTTAACAAACAGTAAATAGATTAGCATTTTAGCCCTTCCCAATCAAATATATTTCCTGAAAATTATGGGTTAAATATATGTCCCAAAAACTGTAAGTTAAATACATACTGAAGTTTTGGCAGGCTTCCATGTACTGCATTTTCAGGGCACCCCCTGCTTCAACTGCCTTGCAAGTAAAAACTGTGATGTTTTATCTCTGTCATCTTTTCAAGTTGCATGATACCATGTATGTATCAAGCTTTACTTACATCAGGTTAGGCTGTTGTATCATTCAAATGAGCTATGGCCACAGACACTGTTTCCTGGCTTCACACTATGCTTAAGTGAATTCTTATCAAGTTCAGTTGTGACTTATTCTGGATACAAAAAAATCCTCAACTAAATGAATATACTATACTCATCACCTCTATGTTCAGAATATGCTTTCAACTCCCCAATTCCACAGCAGTGCTAGTGTTTGAGCTCTAGGAATAAACTGAACATTTTGGACAGGTCAAGAAAGATTTTTTTTTTTAATTTCCTCTCCTACCTTACCAACTTAAACTATAGACAAGAGATAGCTATTGTATTTTCAAACGATACTTAAAAACACCAAAATGATTAAATGTTTAAGCATAAATTGGTCACAACAAAGTCATGACAGCCTTAAAATAATCAGAGCTCATTTGTGTTCACCCAAGAAATTAATCCAAGGGTGGCATGGAATTCTTTAATTCCTAGCTAAAACACTTCTTACATCAGTAATCATCCTTATAAAGTGTCAGTTCATCTGTACAGTTGAGTCTGAGTGAAGTGAGCGGACCAAAAAAACTTCAATGTAAGTGAAAGAACAGCAATGACATTGTGGTGTAATTACTGCTGAAGTAAAAGTGCATCACTAAAGACCACTGGCTACAGAGTCCCTCTCCAGCCAAAACAACTGAAAGCACTGAGCAATCAATACACATGGCCCAAAAAATATCCTATCATCATGCATCATAGGGTTTAAATCGTGTAGTTACTAGTTCATTTCTACTAACTGTGGGACAGTTCTATTCATGCCATGGGCCTTTGTCACTCACTACGTGGAATCACCACACTGTTGGCACTCACCTGCAAATTTTGAAATAATGATAATGTAATCTACAACCCATTCCTCAATGCCAGTTTGGTTTAGCTGGAAGACTATCACTCCTTTTTATAACAACTGTCTTCCCTCTGTTTTACACTGTGTTTCCATATCATTATGGTAAGTTACTGATAAGGGAATGTTAAACTCCAAAATCCTGGTAGGTCCGTTATATCAAGAGTCTTATTTGTAAATAAAAATTATGTGATATTTCAATTGGCTAATTTGTTCTTGTAGTAACCGAAAACCATGTTAGTATGTTCCATCTGCCAGGATATATGCTGAAGTCAGAAATTATCATAACCAAGTTGACAATCATTTCAGGTCAATAAACAGCATCTGAATAGTAAGGTAAATCTAAGATAACTTCAAGAGCCTTTTAAACTGAAAATAAAATTAGGATTTCAAATCAAAGTTACATCAGATTGCATACAGAAAAGCAAGTAATGAACTAGAACTGTGCACTGAAATTTTAAGTGGTGCCTAGCATTTACTGGGGATCACTATTAAAAAAATTGTACTCTTGAGTACCATCCAAGGATTTGTTTAAAAAATAAAATAAAAAAGCTTACAAAGGTATTACCAACATGCCCGTGTGGTACCTGATTATGCATAGCTACCCAGGCAATTGGCAGGTGATGTAATTTGCTTTCAGAATGCATGCTACCAAAGCAAGATAATGGTGGTCTCAGTCATTTTTCAGTTTGACTGAGACAGTAATTAAGGTGCTCTGTGCAGGAGGAAAACTTTTGGCACATGAGATACTGCAGCCAGTCAGGAGAGAGCACTGAGACCAAGCATTTGATCCCGCAGAAGCTATAGGGAAGATTACTCTCCATTGTTTTGTTTCTTCTGTCCCCTCCAATTCTTCAAGAGCTGATGCTTTCCATCCCTTATTTCCAGTATCTCTAACTGGCAGGCCAAGCTCTTCCCTCCCCCTTAGCCTTGTGGCACAGCAACCTGCCTCTCGTTCAGTTATACATGCTCCAACTCGCAATGGAGCTGAAGCTGCTGCTGCCATCCTAAGACCGGGGTTCAGCACAGCCTTAGTTCTGTCCAAGTGAAGAGCTGGCAGGTACAGCAATTTCTCTGTACCAGTTAAACAAGACCGAAAAGGTTCAGTTTCACCCTTTGCAACTCTATGAAAGGAGAACATTGACCTCCTAAAGTATCAACAGGCAGCCATAGGACTTGTACTGAACTGCAAGCAAGTCATAGTACTCCAACAACTGAAGTTTAATTTTACATTTGCTTACCTGTGTTATGTGCACTTAGTGAACAGATTTCTTGAGTATTTCCTGTAAGGGTGTGTCTAGACTACTGGATTTTTCAAAAAAAGTGGCCTTTTTTCAAAAAAAACTTCCCCTGAATCTAGACTGCTACCACGTTCTTTCGAAAGTAAATCAAAAGAACGCAGCAGTTTTTCTGACTGCAGAAAACCTCGTTTTACAAGCAAGAACACCTTTTTTCAAAAGTGCTCTTTCGAAAAAAGGCACTAATGTAATGCAAACTCTGCGTTTTCAAAACAGAGCATTCAGACTGCCTGGGTGCTCTCTTTTGAAAAAGCGGCTTGCTTTTTCAAAAGTACTGGTTGTAGTCTAGACACTCTCTCTCAAAAGAGGTTTGCAGTCTAGTCATAGCCTAAGATAACATTAGCCATACATGCAAGTGTTTCATATACCTTGTGCACTTTTCTTAAATTAAATGAAGATACCAATCTTTTGAAAAATTGTCATTGCTAGAGATAGACCTGAACTAGATTTCAGCAAGTATCAATTTTAAAGCTTTAACCCCTTTGTCCTGACTCCTTCAGGTAAAGGATTTTATGCAACTCTCCCAATTACCTTGAGAAGCCATGAAGCCTAAGTGTTCCAGCAAATGGAATGTGGTTACTGTTTCTGACTATTCAGCACTGGGACATGATCATAAGGGAGGGGAGGGAAGCAGCCTAGCTCATGGGATATGCTCCCACCATGCAGGGAATGGCTGGGTGACACCTAGGGAAAAACTCTCTCAGTCCTGGAGACAGCTGATCTGTCATTGAGGATTCTGCCCTTCTCTTAAGACTGGCAGCAGGAGGATAACACTGAACAGGGAATTTGCACCTATTTTACCTGTAGTTCACACCAGGCCACTTCCACCGTAGTCTCGGTGTCCAGTCCCTTGTATACAGTTTTGAAGGAGCCTCTTCCAATCTCGATATCAAATTTGAGGAAACGGCCGTCAAGGGAAAAGCCCACAGCCTTTGTCTCTAGCTCCTCGATATCCTCCTGTTGTTGGTTCTTCCCCTCCAAAAGCTCCCGACTGGCGGAGACCGCACTGCCTGCCGTGCTGGTAGGAGGTAGCGGGGTGGTTTCCTCTGCCTCTCCTTTGGGCAGTAACGTGGCGGTGTCCTCTACTGCAGGAGGCTCCTGAATTAATTGCACCTCAGGGGAAAGCGACAGAGACGGCTGCTGGAACAGTAGCAGGGGGTCCTGAGTGACGGAGATGCAGGGAGCCTCGCTAGAAGGGTCAGGCGGGGAGCCTAGCAGCGAGGTGATACTCTCGGGAGTGGCAACTGCCGGGGGTGCTGCGGGCTGCAAGCTAGGCAGCTCTAGTGCTGTAGCATTGGAGTCACAGATCACGCTACGGCGGAAAAAGCGGTGCTCAGTGGCTGCAACCCCACGACTGTCCTTGTCCATGGTGTGGCGGCGGCGCCGGTATTCTTCGCTCCGTCCCCCGCCTGCCACCCCGCCGCCTGCTCCTCCGGCCCCCGATCCATCTTGGTCAGTGACCGCCCCTAGCTTCTCCCCCACGGAACTGTCCGAGCTAGAGCCGTTCTTGGGCGGAGGTGGCGGGGGAGCCAGGAAACGAGGAGTCTCTGCGGCGCTCCCCGACATGGTGCTGCGGGGACCGAGGTAGCGCTGCTGGGAGGATGCGGCGTGTCACTGAGCGGGGAGCGCGTCCGGCTGCTGCTGCAACAGGGGAGGGTCCCAAGGGCTCCTCACAGCGGGGCTTGGCGACGGCGGCTGAGCCAGCGGCGGGGTGGGCTCCTGCTTAGCGTCCGCATCCATCCTGCAGCGGGGCGCCGGGCAGCGGGGCCGACATGGAGCGACAGCAGCGGGGCCAGGACACGCACTCCGGGAGAGAAGGCGAGAGGAGCCTGAGGCAGGTGCCGGGCGGGACAAGCCGCAGCCCCCCTAGCTGCCCGGACCGGGACAGCTCAGCTGCGAGCCAAAGCGACGGGCCCCCCGCGCTGGGGGGAGGGGAGCGAGGCAGGCCCAGGCCGGGAAGCGGTTGCGCCAGGGGCGCAGGCCCCGCTCTCCCCTGCCGCTAGAGGGGAGGGCAGGCCCGGCACGCCCCGCCGGGGGGAAGAGACGCGCAGCCCGGTCACTCGGAGCTGGGCGAGCCCCCGCCTCACACGGCACCCATGGCGACCTCGGTCTCCTCCCGGTAGGAAATAACCGCTCGCCGCGGCGGGGCCGGCCCCCTCGCTGCCTGCCGGCGCCTCACCGGGAGCCGGAAACTCCCCTCGCGGCTCTCTCACCGGGGCCGCCCGCGAAGCCGCCTCCTCCGCAAGGCGCCGGCCGAGGGAGCCCGGCTGGCCCCGGCTAATTCTTCGCGCTAAATGGCGACTAGAGCCCGAAACCGACAGACATAGACAGCCTCTCCGGACCACGCCCCCTTCCTCCGCCCGCTTCTGCGCCTGCGCCGCGGCCCCGCGCTCCTTGGGAATGGTAGTTTTTTCATCCTTCCTCTGAGGGAGCTGAAACGCGGGTAACCTACAACTCCCATCGCCCACTGCGCCGACGCATGGTGTCACGGGAGTTGTAGTTTCCTTCTTACGGGCTACTTCCAGCTCGAGCCTGGCTTTTCCTCACACAATACTGTGCTGTGCTACTGGGGCAGGGCAGGAAAAAGGGGGGAGGGAATCATTACATATGGATTAATTCTCGGAGAAGAAAGGACTCTCTCATCATACTCTGTCGTTTCAGGGCTACAATGCAATATAAATGATATGCTTTAATAGAGTAAATACTAGAGTTTTCAAGCCAGACCCCAAAATCTCAGTGTTCTTTTTCAAAATCTAAAAGCAATGAAAGTATCTCCATGATTTGTTTTGATTATGAAAAGGAAAATTTATAAACAAAAATTAAAATTAGATTTTTTTTTTCTAATCAAAAAGGATTCAGGGCTAGGTCTTCCTCTACTAGTGTGAGGACTGGAGTAGCAATGCAGAACAGGCCCATCAATGTTCCCAATCTGAAGCAGTTTCTGCAACCCACACGCCACAGCGAGCAACTAGAGCTGGAGAAAGAAAATGAATATAAACAAAAGTGAAACTGGAAAATGAATATAAACAAATGTGAAACTGACCATTGTATTTTCATTTGTACTGCTGAGCTCATTGGACGAGATCAACAAATAGTATAAACAGTGAAGGGTATGACAGATTTTTAAATCAGCTTTCAAAATGATCTGTAGCATGTAACCATACAAGTAATATATATGTTTTAAATATATGATTTTTAATCTGATGATGGGCTCAATTCTGCAAGCTGAGGTCTCTGATACCAGTCCAACAAAGCACTGAGGGATATGCTTAATTTCAACTATAAGGGCAATTAACCATTAAACATCATTTGCTGGATTGGGACCAAAGTATTAAGCACTGTACAAAATCCATGCATGAGTCTCTTAAAGGTGGTGTTTCAAATTCCCCTTCTACAATGAACAATGCTTGCTGCGTGTATTATCAGGTATTTAACTTCGTGTTTTAACAAAGCCAGCAGTGTCCCATTTTGCTTTCACAAACCATAGGCACATATAATTGTGGAAGCTATATATAACACCCACATTTATTTATTTATTTATTTAGTGGCCAAGGTTTATCATTTGGACTTGTGTCCACATCTAAGTGATCTAAACCACAAGAGCAAATAACTGCTGTGCAAAAATGTGCCCTGATTATTTGGCTGATCCTAAAATGCCAGCATTCTCAAATCTGACCCTGCTACCGTTTGAGACACAACCCAAGTTATTATCAATTAAATGGGGAGACTATATAAGTCAGAATAACAAGAGAAACCAACACGAACAGTCACATAAATCAGAAACTTCTGGTAAGAGATACAGGTCATAGCTACTCATGTGATTTATTTATAAAGTATCCTCTTTTGTATTAATGCACCAAGACCAAATTTTTTTTCTTCTCCAAAAGAGCAGTATATGAAAGAGAAAGGGACTACTTTCATCAGTAAAGTAAGGCGGGTTTGGATCCATCTTTTATGAAACTACATTTTTTAAATTACTGCAATAGAAATATTTTTGGAGATTTTTCTTTTTAAACTATGTATTTTATATTGTATACATTAACACATAATACAAATATTTCAAATACATCATCAAAATAGATTTAAACCAGCCAATATTAGGAAACTGTGCATTACATCTCCCTCAGAGAGGTCCCGAGTCAGTTTCTGTGCCTACACAGAACACTAATGACTTTCAGGTTATCCGTAACACAGAACTTGGGGGATTTTCTCACATACATACAGTCAAAGTCTTTATATATGTTGATTGTAATACAGAACTACTAATGGAGAACCCAATATTTTCACTATATTCATATCTTATTAGTAAAAATAATACAAATGCAGAAATGAAATTCAACTAATTGCAGATAGCCCATGTAAAGTCCTACTTGTATCACTAGATCCTTATGGGTAGTGGGTAAAGATTTGACCATAGTTCACATCTAGATTACAAGCAGTTATTTCGACATAAGGTCAAAATAATGTTGAGCTGGAAGATTTCTTACTCAGACTCCTGTAGCCCTCATTTTACGTGGAGTAAGAGCACTCTTTCTCCAATTTCCCTTTCTCAGACTTCCTGCTGTTTAGACAGCATCAAAAGCCAAAATAAGCTATTCCAAATGAAGCTACACAATTGATATAGCTCAAGTTGTGTTGCTTATTTCAGCTTTATCCCTGCTGTATAGATCTACCCTGAGTGACATGTGGAGACATGCCCCTTGCTATATAAGTGTACTCAGTGCTTTCCCTCTTGCACACAACCATCCAGCAGTGCCCACACTAACCCTGGCCCACAAACATTTCCTCTGAGGCTGCAAGCTCTGCCTACTGCCAGGAAATCAGAGGACAGGATGTGACAGCAAAAGGATCAGGGCGGAGCCACAGGCCGTGTCTATAAATCTATCCATGTAATCCTGAGGCTAAAGAAATAGCCATTCCATGGTTTGGAAGGGGGAGAACCTAACAAAATTCCCCAGCCTACAACTTACTCCGGTTACTCTGTCTGAGTGTATGGCTGAGTATAGGATTTGGCATTAAATGTTTTACAGTGCTATATATATATAGATAGGGCCTGTTACCACCCAAATGGGCTTCTAATATCCAGCCAGTTCCACTTTGCTCAGAGATGACAGCAGAAGGGAGGTTTAGTAGAGAACCTTTGCTCCTTTCCTTTCCGGGATTCTTGTGGCATGTCATTAGTCCTCTGGAAGATAATGTAGCTTCAGGGATGACCAAAGTAGCACCTGATTACTTATGGCTCCAGTGGTTACTCTCCAGTAATTCAGTCTTTTCTGATCATGAATCCTACCAACTCGCTGCAACAGGGGAAGCAGCACAGAGACATTATGGTATTTTTATGCCATATAGAGATTCCACCTCTACAGCACTGGGAGAATTGCTTGGTGGCCAAATTTACAGTCCCTTTGCCCAGATAAGGCCAATGTAATGGGCTCATCGCGTGACAATTAATCTGACCATTGTAGCCAGTTATAAAACCCTCCCTTGTCTTCAAGATGTACTGTACAATCAGGTCCCTGTCGGCAATACATCAATTCCAAAGGGACACTATCAGCTTGAAATATAGCTGATTAAAACAATTCAGTTAAAAATACTTTCAAGTATTTCAGCTCTCATTGAGCTCCTCTGCCAATTTTGTGGTTTTACAATCAGTTTTCTTTGTTTTTAATAAGTGTTTTTCTCTTCTTTTGCTGTGGGAAAGACCCACACAAACAACAGAAGACCCTGACTACCTGTAGATACTATATACAAAGGAAAGGCTGCCACTAACTTCA